ACGTCCATGGCTGATGGTTAATGTAATTATAAACGGTGCCTGATGTAAATGTTTAAGAAAGTTACAGTAAAACGCACGGTGGCTGTATTCATTTATTTTATTCGCCGTTTAAAATTCTTATTTAACCGTGGAATAACTCGACAAGTAATTTAACAATAATTCCAGGATCGCCAATATACTGTTTTAATATAATCGTCTACMAACGAAATTTTTTTCGCCTCTTCTCTCACGAGAATGTGATCTGGATTATTCGGAGGTTGCCATATAAAAGAGTAAGATTCATTTAAGTTACACATATTATGATATTACACATTGCCACTCACTAATAGCATAATGAAGTGTTTAAATACTTCCGAAAAAATATTTCTAGGAATACTCACCAATACATCCCTTATCCACTAATCACTTAGATATCCATCGATTAAATTATGAAATTTTTTTTTTTAATAATAATTATACAATCTATATTTCTTAGCATAATCAGTATAAGTGATAAGAGACAGAAAAAAAAGACACATGGTATTCGTGATTAAGAAGTCACCCACTAGAGACTCTTTGCGTGATGGGAAATTATTAAATAAATACATTAGGCATGCATTTATTTGTTACGCCGTTTTATAACATTTTGTTTTAATATTTTAATATTTAATAATTTTTAACAGTGTCAATTATAAAGACATTAAAATCCAAATACCACTGACTCASTGATCATTGTATCTCAATAACTACTCAACGTACAAACTTGAAATTTTGAATAGTGGTTCCTTTAATAATTTCACCGCGTAATAAGAAAAGATTTTTTCAAAATTTTGATTTTAAGGAGTTGAAATCGTCAAAAATAAATTTGTACGTGTAAATTGAATATTTATATACTTATTATTAATATAATATTATAAATATAATTTTGTTTATTATAGGGCTGCTATTGGTCTTACAATTCAGTATGGATGAGTATCAATTCGTTATTGGATGCCAATTTTAAAAATTGTTTCACCTTTACAAAACAATAAATGGGAYAAAATATTATGATCACTACAACTACGCCGGGCATTAAACGACGAATTAAACATAMATTTTGAATCATATAGATATATATCATGGGTGTGGTACATAATGTGGCACCTAACCTSGCTACACGCTAAAATGAAAATAAGTTATAATTAAAAGTAAGCATAAGTTCTATAAAGATTTATAAAAACGGAATACTGTGAATGAATAGTTTATTTATTACAAGAATTATTCTCGCAATTTGCGACTTATAAATAACTTGAAATTGTTTAAAAATGCCTACAATATTATGAATTCAAGTTGATATAAAATTATT